CTCTCTCTCTCTCTCTCTCTCTATCTTCTTCTATCTATCTATCTGTCTATTTATCTATCTATCTATCTCTCTATCTCCCTCTCCTTCACCCTATTTCCCACTTATTTTTCTTCTCCCTCCCCCTCCTTTTTCTCTTCCCCTGTTTCCCTCCCTCCTTCACAACACCCCTGTCAGATAATCCCTCAACAAACACACAGAACAAATAACAATTACAGAGGATCCTAATTTAGCTACAACTCTGCCCTCGACGTTTTGAGTTCCTCCTGCTGATTTTGGCGTCCTGCTGTGGAGTTTGGCGAGGATTTGGCGTCCTCTTGTGCAGTTTGGCGAGGCTTTCCCCGGATTTGGCGATTAAAGCTTTTAATTGAGTGATCATGTGCGCAGTGGGGAAGCGTGCATTCGCACGCGCGCACGCGCAGTGCACACGCATGTGTGGTCTACACACACGCAAATGTTGATTTACACGCATGAATCTGTATAATGGCTTACATGCACGCATACACTCACGCTCATACGGGTACACATGCATGAACATTTATACATGTGTGTGTGTGTGTGTGTGTGTGTGTGTGTGTGTGTGTGTGCACTCTGCCTAGCGCACTCGCGCCTGCACGGACGCAGGCACACGAAGGCGCACCTGACAGGGAAGAGGAGTGGCACAATCCTCGGTTCACTCGCCTTGTTTCACAAAGCTGGACTTTTCCTCCTATTCCCAAGTCGCGGGGAAGCAGGTAAGCCTGTGGGTTTAGCGCTTCACGCTGGTTAAAATAATATTAACCCTGTGTGCCGAGACGCCAAATACTGCCAGGAATGTTGAGAAATCTGTTGCGCAGCCGACCAGAGAGAGAGAGCGAGAGAGAGAGAGAGAGAGAGAGAGAGAGAGAGAGAGAGAGAGAGAGAGAGAGAGAGAGAGAGAGAGAGAGAGAGAGAGAGAGAGAGAGAGAGAGAGAGAGAGAGAGAAGAGAGAGAGGAGAGAATAGATAGAAGAGCATAAGGTAAGAAAAGAGATAGAACCAAACGAAAGGCATGAGATAAAGAGAGAAGACGCAAATGATGATCGTCTCTAGGCACCATGATGGTAATGCTGGTGCAGTAGTAAGGATGAATGGGAGGATGTTGGCACCTGGAGAAGAAGTTGATATCCTTGGGGTGAAATTTGACTCCAAACTAACCATGAAGAACCACGTTGTAAATCTTGCAAACAAGGCAGCCAGGAAGCTTACAGCACTTCGCCGTATCTCCCATCTGCTTGACAGTAGGGGTTGCAAGATCCTGTACGAGGCACAAGTACGCTCACACCTTGAGTATGCTCCACTTTCTTGGTTTGCCTGCCCCCCCCCTCTCATCTGCGACTGCTTGACAGAGTAGAGAACAGAGCAAGACGTCTCATCTCTCGCCTGGACCCATCCTGGATAGATCTGTCATTTCAGCAGAGCCTTCAACATAGGAGGGATTGTGGGTGGCCTTACTGTTATGTAAAAGACCAATATTGTCAAAATACCACACTTGGATCCACTTCGAGGACAGCGTGAAACAAGCTTTTATGCCACAAGACGGGCAGAAAGCAGCAACTTCACTCTGGCTGTACCCTTCTCCAGAACATCACTCCATCTGAGATCATACATACCCAGGATGACTCGAGTATGGAACACATTCGTACAGCATAATGATGTCAACGAGATAAAGTCAGTTGATCAAATGAAAATGCTGGCCCACAGATGGCTCCAACTTCATCCTGTTCCCTACTTGTATGTCTCATAACAATAAAAATGCTTTCAAATGAGCTGATGTAGGTAACAGCTCTTAGCTTGCCAATAAAGTTAGGAATCCTTAACCTGTAAATAGCTGTCAATAAAGCTAGGGATCCTTAACCTTGTCAAACCCTGTGTAAAAAAAAAAAAAAAAAAAAAGAGAACAGAGATAGAAGAAAATGATAGATAACATGAAAAATGAGAGATAGAGAAATGAATAAGTAATAGCAAAAGCGGCAGGAAAAGCAAGAAAAGAGACACGGAACACATATGGGAGGAACCAGAACAAGGGGACACATTGGAGGGACCAGAACAAGAAGACACAAATCGAAGGGGCACAATGAAGGGCCACAAGGAGGGGCCACAGATGGACCCTGGTCACCCAGGTGAGCCACACTGACAATAAAGTCGCAACTTTATAGCTATAAGGGCAATAAAACCTTGGGACTGACTCCATACATACATACACAAGTGCACGCCACACAAATGAACCCCGTCTGTCATATAAATGACGTGGGGCCCAGGAGCCAGATCTTGACCTACCCTCACAGATTCGGCAAGGTAATCACAGCCAGATAACTGCATGAAAATGTTGTGTGTAAAAGTCTCAGTGATGGAAGTGTGATAACAAGAAGAAACACTGGTTATTATTGTAATTATTATGAGTGTATTTTTAAGTAGCGACGAGACTTTGAGGAGAGAGTCGAGTTGTTTGTGTAAGCTGGGAGACGAGGTGGGGAGAGAGGTGG